CTAAAGGGACCCCGAAGGGTCATTGAGTCCAGCCCCCTGCTTTCACTAGCAGGACCAAGTACTGATTTTTCCCCAGATCCCTAAGTGGCCCCCTCAAGGATTGCACTCACAACCCTGGGTTTAGCAGGCCAATGCTCAAACCACTGAGCTATCCCTCCTCCCCTGACAGCTGGGAGGATTGCTATAAGAAAGACTGATGGAGAATCATCTGACCTTCTTCTTCCCAAAAGGTGCTGTTATTTAGTATTACAGAATGGTTCTTTGTAGGATGTGGAAGGGGAGGCACTTCTGATAAACCATCTTTTTAACACCACATCCCGCTGCACTGCCTTTGTTTCAATGGTTATACCTTCCATTACATTCACTGAATCTCAGATATACTGCAATGTATGACCAGCACATCAATCAAGTACACAAATTCAGGACATTTATTTCAATGTACAATTAATGATTCCTTACTTTTTTCTTTTATAAAAGCAAGGAAATGAAACCCCAAAAGTTACATTAAAGCAATAGGAGAGATGAGATTTTAAATACGCAAAGTTATTAAGGCATTAATATGATTTAATATGAAGGCAGTATTTAATAGCATTTATGGTAATATACACAGAAGTCAGAGTTTACTTTGCTCTGGGAGCCATACACTGGAATTTTATTTTTTGAGTGTTCAAAATCTCAGATCTCCTATTGCTTTAATGTAGGTTTTCCCATTCAACAGAAGAATGCTATTGGTTGGCCATTGCAATCACAGAAACTGTGGGTCAGCCCATACAAAGCAGCCAAACAAAGGGAAAGAGCTAGGTCTACCCCATGCAAAACTACAACCATCTCCCCTGCTTCTTGATCCCACATGACACTCTCTCCACAGCTGCTCTCTCCTGTGGTGACCTCGCCTCTCACACCCATCATCCCAAATGGTCCATGTACTTGTTATCCATATATCAGCCACTTCTACCTCACTCCCTTGAGCAACACTCCATTAGCCTCTATTCTCCCCATGCCCTATTGTCTTTCACACTGCAGTTTTTCCAACAATTTCTTCTTGGATTTTGATTGCTGTCTCTTCCTCTCAAGACAGTCATCCTTCATGACTTCAGCTTCCTGTCTGATACCTCAACATCCTGTCTTCCTCACTCTCACTCCCTCATTTGACCTTCAACCCTGGATCAACCCCACTTGTCAAAAGGGCCATTTATCCATCCTTGTCTTCATTACACCTGCTCCCCTCACCATTTCTGAATACCCGAGTTCCCCCCTACAACCACCACCAGATCCTTAACACACACATCCCCTGATTCACCTACCTCCACCTAGCCTTGTCATGAGCTCCAATCCATCAACTTCTAGGACTTCTCTTCCACACTCCCACCCATCCCCAGTTCTCTCATCCCTCTCCTCAGCAGTCAGAAGTCCAATCCTTCCACTAAACCTGATTCCTTTGCCTGTTCCACCACCAAGTCCATTTCACTAACCCCACAACCTTGGCTCACCCCAATGTCCTTCTGCTGCTGTGCCACTGAATGCTCCTGGAGAAAGTCCCCTGGCCACAAAGACTTCTTCCACTTCAACTGTGTTCTCTTCTCCTTCAGTTCTACTGTCTTCCTTGGCAAGCAACACTATTCCTCTCTCACTGACTACCACTCAATTCCTGTTACCTCTTTGCAACCTTCCACTCCCTTCTGAAACCCGCCTCCTTCTCAACTTCCTCAGCCATCTCCAGGAAACTCCCTCTCAGTGAAAACTGACAAGACCTGCTGTGATAAATGAAGTGGGAGTAGCTCCCTTTTATGAACTCCCAGCCAGCTAGCTATAAAATTCCTTTTAGTAGCTGTCCTCTATTTGCTTTACCTGTAAAGAGTTAACAAGCCCACAGGTAAAAGAAAAGGAAGTGGGCACCTGACCAAAAGAGGCAATGGGAAGAGTAGAACTTTTTAAAATTGGGAAAGAAACTTTCCCTTTGTCTGTTGTTCTCTCTGGGCTACAAGGACATGGAGCAATAATGCTATACACAGGAATGCTGTGTAAGGTTTGAACCAGGTATGAAAAATTATCTTCCAGACCTAGAAGGAATCATTGGAAGGCAGGGAATGTTTAGAAGATGTGATTGGGTTTATTTCTGTTTCTTTTTAAGGCTTGTGGACTCTTCTATGCTAACCCCAGATGCTTTTGTTTGCTTGTAACCTTTAAGCTAACCCCCAAGAAAGCTATTTTGGGTGCTTAATTTTTGGAATTGCTCTTTTAAAATCTAGCAAAAGCCTAAGTTCCAGATGTAGTTTCTTCCTTTTTGTTTTTAATAAAATTTACCTTTTTTAAGAACAGGATTGGATTTTTGGTGTCTTAAGAGGTTTGTGCATATGCTGTTTGATTAGCTAGTGACAACAGCTAATTTCCTTTGTTTTCTTTCTCAGCTCTTTCCCCTCGGGAAGGGGGGGGGAGGGAGAAGGCCTTGAAGGTACCCCATAGGGAGGAATTCCCAAGTGCTCCTTCCTGGGTCCAAGGGGTTTTTTTGCATGTGGGTGGTGGCAGCGTTTACCAAGCCAAGGTCAGAGAAAAGCTGTAACCTTGGGAGTTTAAGAAGGCCCCAACCTTCTGCACTTGAAGTGACAGAGTGGAGATTCAGCCTTGACACCTGCCATGATCTCCCCGAACTTTTCTCTTTGATTAACCTCTCCTCCTTTGCCACCATCACAAACACTATGGTTTCCCATCTGCTGTCCTCTTCTTCCCCTCCATTTGGCCCAGTGATCCCATCCTCTCCTGCCTCCCTCTCCTCCATAGTCACTATCCTCTTACTACTTCCCTCACAATGCAAGCACATCTGTCTGGTTTCAGAATGTATTGTCACTGGCGTAGGGATCACCACATCTGCCTGGTTTCTGAACATAACCTCATGGGGTGGGGATTGTACCTTATTTTTTGTTTGAAAAGCACCTAACACTCTGTGGGCATTATCTGAAACAAGTAATAAATAATCATAGTAAGAGTCATAGGAGTTCTGGGGTGAGAATCAGTGCATGGTTCATACACAGTAGTAGTCATCTTGTGAGGTATTTTCCTTAAGTCAAGAAATAAATACAATCCTTACCTTTTCATACCATGCTGACTTCTTGCAATTTACTAGCTCATGCAGTCCATCATGTAGAGTCACTAGATCTTTGGTCAATTTGTCAATTTCTCCAATAATATTGCTAGCACTGTGGCAACACAAGTTAGCATTTGGCAAAGTGTTTTTCTCTTTACAAACATCTTCTGACTTGAATGTATTTGCATCTTCATCAAGGGTATCTAATACAGTTTCCTAAAGGAAAAATACATGGTAAAAGTTCATTAACTTTATAGCACCAACTGGAAATCATTTGCTTGCCATGTGTTTCTCCAATATTTAATTTTAAGAACTTAGGCCTTGGCTACACTTACCC